ATAAACGTCTAAACGTCCTGACGCCTAAGGCCTAGGACTTTTTGAGGGCCAGCTCCCTCTGGGGAAGAGCGGTGTACACACGGTGCCCGCTTCAGGGCACCGAGCTAGCTGCTCTAGGCGCACCAGAGGCCAGTCTCGTGAGACTGGTTCCCTTAGGAGGTCACCTGGCGGTGTGGGAGCCCCTGCCAAGTGTGCTTCATTGGGTCCTGCCCCGAGCAGGCTCTGGTCTAGTCTTCCTAACAGGCGACGTGGGTCTGAGGGCCGTCGTTTTCAATAGGAGACTTCAGCTATGAGAGTCCTGATGCTGTGGCTCAGGACCTCAGAGGGCAGGCCCCTCTGCGGAAGAGCGATGTACACCGCATTACACGGTGCCCGTCTCTCCTCAGTGCCCTCAGGAGATCAGTCTACCAACACTGCCGGTGTTCCAGGGCGCAGCGATCTCCCGCGAGCGCCACTCTCAGTCACCGCCCAGCAACGTAGCGGTGCTAAGAGGCTCGCCACCTCCGCGGAGGTCTCTAGAGCAGCCGGTTCGGTTGTCCCCTACCAGTCCGCCATTACAGGGCACTGAGCTAGCTGCTCTCATTACATCAAGCAGTTTCAGAGACTGCTGGATCTGATGGCAGCTGCGTCCAACGTGATAACGCTTGGCCTGCTGTTCATGAGATCCCTACAGTGGTGGCTTAAGTTCAAGGGGTCTCCCCGAGGGGAAACCCGCTTTGCATGATCAAGGTCACGCGGCGATGCCTACGTGCCTTGGACATGTGGAGGAAACCTTGGTTCTTGTCTCAGGACCCGGTGCTGGGAGCTCCTTGTCGCCACGTAATGCTAGCGACGGACGCATCCCTCACCGGTCGGGGTGCGGTCATGAGTGGCCACCCTGCCAGCGGTCTGTGGAGTGGTCGCCATCTGACATGGCATACAAACTGCCTGGAGATGTTGGCCGTGCTTCGTGCACTAAGACACTTCCTCCCAGACCTAAGAGGTCACCATGTGTTGGTGCGCACCGACAACACAGTGGTGGTCCCTTACATCAACCCCCAGGGAGGTCTGTGCTCACACCGTTTGTACAAACTAGCGTACCAGATCCTTGTGTGGTCCCAGGGAAAACTTCTCTCGCTGAGAGCAGTTTACATTCCTGGGCATCTCAATTTGGGAGCAGACATCCTGTCGAGGCAGGGGCCGAGGCCCGGGAAACAGATGCTTCACCCCATGGTGGTTTGCTAGAGGGGACTTGTTTGCGACTCAGATGACATCGCACTGTCCCCTCTGGTTCTCTCTGAGTCATCCAGCTCCACTGGGGCTGGATGCCATGGTACAGACGTGGCCGAGGCTTTGTCTGTACGCCTTTACCCTGATCGCTCTGCTCCCGGGAGTTCTGGAGAGAGTGCGCCGGGATGGGGTCTGTCTTCTGCTAGTAGCCCTGTTCTGGCCGGGCCGAGTATGGTCTCAGACCTGATTTCTCATTTCTCACCTGAGATCTCCTCTCATAGGCGGAGGGTACGATTATCCACCCCCGCCCGGAGCTGTGGAAGTTGTGAGTGTGGCCACTGAGGGGGCACAACTCATAGCTTCCGGTCTCTCAACCGAGGTTGTTGAGACCATCCTCCAATCCAGAGCTCCCTCAACGAGGAAACTGTACGCCTTGAAGTGGAAACTTTTCACTTCTTGGTGCGGAGACCGCCAGCTCGACCCAGTTAACTGCCCGGTTGGTATAGTGCTGGAGTTCTTGCAGGCCCGTTTCTCCGCAGGGTTGACCCACTCCACCCTGAAGGTCTACGTGGCGGCTATTGCGGCCTACAACGCCCCTCTTGGTGGCCAGTCAGTGGGCAGACAACCCCTAGTTACACGTTTCCTCCGCGGTGCACTGAGGCTGAGGCCTCCGGTACGATCTCGTGTCCCCACGTGGGACCTGACTGTGGTGCTAGAAGCTCTCTGTAGGC